CAAAAGATGAAACAAAAACTTGTTTTTACAGTTATTTAAAGCATAGTCAAATTTTATAGATAAAAAAAAGTGTTGAAGATTAATGGGATTATTTAATCACAGCATTTTGATGTTAAAGAGTTTAGGGGCATAAATCCCTTAGAACCTGAATGTAACAAAAATTCTACATGGGGTCGTAGATGTAGATTTTTGATAGCAAAGCATGATTTCTCGGATATGGTAGAAATGTAAAAGCAAGTGGCTGGGGAAGGTGTATTAGCGGAGTCAGTTTTCTCTTGTTCGTAGGTGGAGATTGTGACACAGGATTAGCATTTTCTGTGTTCCCGGGAAATGGAAGGTGATTGACAAGTGATTTTGTACAAGATTATGCCAAATATAATCTCGACAAATGTTGTACTTTTCATCCGTTTCAAATCGTTTATAAACTTCAAAAGACTGGATAATCAGAAAATCGTCAGTTTTACGAAAAAAAAAAAACGAACATGATAAGAATGTATTCCATTTCAACCCATCCATCAGTTCTCCAAATTTTTCTCTAAGCTTTGTATGGTGATTTTCCTTAATCTAAAATGTAGAGGTCATGCAGTTATTTTGTTGTACTACTGTTGGATGGCTACAAGTTGATTCTTCGCTGATAATGTTGCTTTAAAGTGCAAGGGAAGTAACTCTTTGATCTGAGACCCTCTTTAGTGGCATGGATAATGTCTTATAGTTCTAACTGTGGTAATCATTTTCTCTAATAAAGATAGTAACCAGTCCCAATGCCTTAGACAAGAGCCGAAAGTAAATTCAAGTCAAATAAAATAAACAATAATAATTGCTGTAAAAATTTTGTTGTAAAAGAAAAAGGAAAAAAAAAATAAAAATTATGGATCCTCTCTTCCCATCTTTTTGCTGAAGATAAATGAATTAATCAATGACTAAAATTTTAAACAGACAACAAAATTAGATGTAATGATATATTAAAGTTGCTCTATTTCTTGTTATCTGTATTCATCATATTTAACAGTAGATAGGGAATTGATGTGAAGCCCAAACGTTATGATGAAACCAGTAGATGATACCAATTAGATTACTAGAAGCTGCCTCCAGCCTGTTGTGATTAATTCTCCAGAGTTTAGCTCACTCTATCCTATCAATCTCCTGCATACCCTCGGGTATCCAAGTGGAAGGCCGAGGATTCATCTACCCACCATTTAACAGTACACAGCATTGGCTCTACAACCCATCCCAAACATATTTGTTTAAAAGTTATCTTCCTTTAATAGCTTGAATTATTATTATGTATAAATTTTGACTGAACTAACAGTTGATATCACTATAAGAATAGTGCAATCTAGCCCATTTGGGTAACAAAATCAATTTTCTTTTAATGTGTGCAAATTAGCCAAATTCATTTGTTATTCCAGTATGTAAGTAAATTACTTACTGAAAGGATGAGTTACTTTTGAAAATCAATAAGGCCTATTACTGTGTGGATTAAAGATATACAGTTTTTAGTTTTTGTAGAATTCTCTTTAAATGGATAGTCATGTGAAGGTAGTTTAGCATATTAATGTGGTGAATTAAAGCTACTACAAAGAAATCATCAATAGGTTTGATCCTCTTTTTGTGTATCACAATTTGGGTTCCATCCTTGTATTACAAATGATTGTATCTATGTGTCATTACCTGGTGAATAGGTATAATTTGACTATGTTCTCAATAAGTACTACAGAAATATGATGATAGTCTTAAAGAAATTTGAACACCATGAAATAAAATAACGCTAAACAGCGTAAGTAATAATCAAATTGCTCAAGTGTCATACTTAGTTATTAAACTCTTCCCATTTCAGTGTTTTTTTGTTTTTGGTTTTCGAATGTTTAGCCTGGTGAAATTATGGGCCTCGACTTGTTTCTTTGTAGATTCTTGAGTTTTGAATATTATTCAGAAGTTCTGATCTAAATACATATCTCAGATACCAATCTGTAAATTTTTTGTTAAATTGGCAACAGTCAGATAATTACAAGTGCTGATATAAGAAGTCCACTATTCCCATTGTCTACAGCTCTAGCACTACATAAGTTAATGTATTACCCAGTGCTTCAGTTATCTCCCCTGTCTCAATACTCCAGTTGTCTACAGCTCTAGCACTACATAAGTTAATGTATTACCTAGTGCTTCAGTTATCTCCCCTGTCTCAATACTCCAGTTGTCTACAGCTCTAGCACTACATAAGTTAATGTATTACCCAGTGCTTCAGTTATCTCCCCTGTCTCAATATTCCCATTGTCTACAGCTCTAGCACTACATAAGATAATGTATTACCCAGTGCTTCAGTTATCTCCCCTGTCTCAATACTCCAGTTGTCTACAGCTCTACTACTACATAAGTTAATGTATTACTCAGTGCTTCAGTTATCTCCCCTGTCTCAATATGCCCATTGTTTACAGCTCTAGCACTACATAAGTTGATGTATCACTCAGTGCTTCAGTTATCTCCCCTGTCTCAATACTCCAGTTGTCTACAGCTCTAGCACTTCATAAGTTAATGTATTACCCAGTGCTTCAGTTACCTCCCCTGTCTCAAAGTTGCATTGGCTTACTGGTAAAGGGAAAACACAGGAATATAGTCAAGCTGTCTTTGGTTCTCTGCCATATTTCGCCAACAGTGGCCATGAGAAAGCGTAGTCAGTAGAGCATTGCCCCATACACTTATGAGTGAAGATCTGAGGTGTGTGGTTAATGCCAGGTACCTGTAATGTTTTTGTTAAAAAAATTCAAATGAAATGATTGACAGTGTTGTTATGGTAGTGTCCTGGAGAAATGTACTGTAACTAAGGTGCTGTGGGTGATATGTGATGGGCCTCCATGTGTTGCTAAGTAAGGTAGTAACCAGCTACTACAAGCAGTTACACTGATAATAATCCCAACTATTCATGGCTATGTAAACACGCCAATCTTAGAAAGCTCTCTAATGCCAACATGCTCAAGTAAATATTTCATGAGAAAGGAATTATCAGTTGCAACAGTTGTCTCCCCTACAAAATGACCTTGTCTTCTTACTTTTGATGATATTTGGTGAAGTTACCTTCCCTATATGAAGGAAACCTACATCCTGTGCCTTATTATTAGATGCTTTATTTATATCCGTTACATAAATTCTGTTACCCAGTGCAGTTTTCATTTCCTACATCAAATAAAGACGGGATATTCACCCACATAACTGATACCTCCCTTGAATAAATTGACATCCCCCCCCCCCGCCCTCACATATCAGTTATCTCCCCTTTATGAATGACACGCTACACTCAGTATAATTTATCATTAAATTGAATCAACGCTGACAATTTTATCTTTAAGAGCTCCTTACTGTTAGTCATTATGTTATGTTTAATGACAATTTGTCATCACAAAAAGAATTCACAATATTTGAAAATCTTATCATTTTTTTCTTAATACCATGCAAAGGAAACAGTTTTTATCTCAATATTCCAAATGTTTCAAAATAAGCTGTATTTTAATTAATTCTGCCTCCAGATCAGTCATAATTTGCTTCTGTAAATGATATCTCTACATAAAGATATATTTTCATATTTCATTTGTCTCCAATAAGATTTACTAGGAAGTGGCACTTAATTAACCACTTTGTTTCTTTGTGCCTTTAATACAGGAATCCATATAAAGTGATATTGTTTTCACATCTCTTTTAATAGATGTACATCAGAAATAAGATATGCTTTATATATAGAATGAAAAGTAAATTTATCCTTTTACAGGCTATATTGCACATTCTAATTGAGCATTGGATCTCTTACATATACCATATCAAAAAAATTTGTTGGTAAAAAAAATCACACTGAATTGATGTTCCAGGTACTTTAATTTTTAATATTTTGTCATAGACGTATCTAGAATTTAAATGTGTTTGTTTTATAAGTATCTTTTTGTTTTTTTAATTCTAATATTGATTAATGTGCATAATCCTTTTCATTCAATTTGCGTTTTGATTACGAAATATATTCACATTGGTATGTGAGTCATGTCAATTTCACATTTGGTAATATTACCTTTATATTGTGCCTCAAAAATCATATGTCTTCCTGGTTTAAAAACAGATTGAATCAAATGGAATAATGCTGCTCCTCTGATAGATAAACATATATGTATGATAAATATATTGGCTTTCTCTTTTGAAGTTTTATTTAAAGATTTGAATATATAGCCTTCATAGATAGAACTATGATGTCAGAATTTAGTTTTCTTGTTATAAATATTATATCAATACTCATATGATTTAATCCTTTATGAAACAAGCATTTTCATTGGCCAAATTTTTGTTATTGCTCCAAAACAAAAAATGTGACATCATTTTGTAATGTCACATCTGATTGGACAATGCAGTGATCAATGAAAATGTTCAAGATATTACGTTCAGATTAAACTATAAGGGTTATATTGATTTTTTCTTAATTTGATTGATGCATAACACAAGAAACAAAGTATATAGTCTTGACATTATGAACTGTTTCATGGTTCATTTGGAGTATACTTCTTTTTTTGGTTATTGCTGAATAACCTAGAAAGATAATTTAGCGAGTCTTAAATTATCTATAATGTCTAATATTTTCATTTAGTAAGTAGTCTTCAAATCAAAGTCTTATGTGATCTTCAAACTGTTTTCAGTTTACTGAATTGCTGAAAGTAATCTGCTTATATTTTCATGTCTATTCATATCAAAATACCTGATTTAGCATTTGTTTGATATGTAAAGATTAGAGTACATTTCTAGAATCAAAAGTACAACATTAGACTAAATACTAGAGAAATCAAAACACCAGGCAAGATGGTATAATTTAGGAAATTAAGTAAACAAATATGTTGAATCTATTTGTGTTCTGGTACACAGCTATTTTAAGTTATCTGTGGTGTGTCCAAAACATGAATGTGTTATTTCATATGACTAAGCTTAATGAAGGTTTACAACTCACACATTTTTTTTATGATTGTATTTTTCAGAGCCCCAGTCAGGTTTCAGAATTGCATTCAATATGTTTGACACGGATGGAAACCAGATTGTGGACAAAAAAGAATTCCTTGTGGTAAGTTTGAAACAGTTAGCAGTCTCCTTCTTACAGATGCTTTATGTATACATTGCTGTAGCCTATTTTACTTAAAGAAAAATACCTAAAAACACTTTCTGGTGTTTTTCAGATTTTAAAATGTACATGTATTGGTGGAGTTATGTTTTTTTCATTTTCTTCCATAATAAAATTTGTTAATGAATTTCAGATGAGTCGGTTACTCAGGGTCATTTAGGTGTTTGTCATGGCAATCAATTGTCATTCAGAATGTATCTCATTATCATGGTGGTTAAGATATTTATTGCTTGTTTCTGTCATTTTTTTTCTTTTGGATATCTAGGATATATTTCAACATCATTTCTTCAATTCATTTTCAACCAATTACAAGTCCCATCAGGTTTTTATTTTAATTTCATGAAACATTTTTTGAGCTTCATGTTTTTGAAGTTATCATTGTTGTGTTATTTCATCAACTTTCTTTCATCATGATATGCTTTAGTTATCACTATTGTCAAATTCCTCTTTCTTTGCTGTCTTCCTCTTTTTTTTTTAATATTTTGCTGTGCAGTTGTCATGTTGTTGTCATCAATTTCATCATTGTCATTATAATCATTGTCATCACTATCATCGTCATTATCATAATCATCATCGTCATTACTATCATCATGATGTAGACTGATATCAGTTTCATCATATAATCAGTTTCTCTTTATACTACATAAGTCATTATAATATATGAACAATTAACTAAATTGAATATTTTGCAGAATTTGAAATAAAAAATCTAGTTCTATAGCATTATTGAAATATGCCTACTTGCTGTGAAAGAAAATAGACAATGATATTTCTATTCCCAGACAAGACAATTATGTGGCTAATGAACCTTTAATTATCTCAGACCTGTTTTTGTTGCTCATTTCCTAAAATGAGTTTTACATGTACAGAATAGCTTTTTAACAGCAGGCTCTTCATTAGAATTTTCTAGTTATGTTTCCCTTGTTAAAATATTTCAGATGTCTAAGTTCTATTTAGTTTTATATGGGGATGGGGAAGGGGGATGTGCGTTTCTGTGTAAAACTATACTTGTATTGTATATTACAATTTAAAGCTCTTTATAGTATATCTTGCTAGTTTAAATGCCTCAAAGTTTAAAAAAAAATCTTTCTGTAACTCACCAAATTTTTATTGATAATGCCCTAAATTGTGAAATATGTTAATGAATTCTTTAAAATGATAGTCCCACTGAATTTTACAGAATACATGAATTTACAAGAATATTTTTAATGAATTTCTCAGAATATTCACATTCATGCCTGTTTGATACTCTTCAGATAATTTAAAGGGTCAAGATTCATGGTTACATATTTATCAGGTCATCTGACCGGAAGGGTCAGGGTGACCTAAAGCCATAGTGTTCTGTCTGTCGTTGTGCATTGTTAAAATGAATAACCTTGACCCAGTAAAATGTGTTGAAATATTTAAACAACTTCATCTCAATTATCAAAAGGTCCATGGTGCTGATATTGGTCAAAGTCACAAGGTCAAATGTGTTGAAATGTGTAAGCAACTCCTTCTCTAAAGCCAAAAGGTCAAAGGCCGAAGTAATGGCATTGGCATTGTGCATGTATAAAGAATATGGTTTCAAGTTTGCAGAAAACGTTTTATGAACCAACAATGTCTTCTATGTAAGCTGTAGAGTAGATGATCTATTTATGGTAGGTCTATTTGACACTTTTATATATAGGTCTTTTTAGTCAGATGACCCTTAAGGCCTGTGGGGCTTTTGTTTATTTATTTATTTAGGTATCTTTGTAACAGATAGGAAAGGTTTGACCTTGACACAATCCTATTCCCATTTTCACTTAATACTAAAAAAGGTGATGTTATTAAATCATGTTTCAATTATATAGACAGTTTAGAATCTTTGGAGTTTTTTTTTTGCTAGTGTTTGGTGGGGTGTGTGTGTGTGTATGGTGGGGGGGGGGAGGGTGTAGAGGTTGGATGTGTAAATATGTTATGATTCTTTCTGATTGGCAGACAAATTTATTGTTCTACAGCAATATTCTATGTAAGAGATTCTTTCTGATTGACTATAAAATATGTACACCTTCAATCTCATGTTATACACATTCATTAAAGTTCAAGGAGTGATAAGGCAATTAGAGAATGTTAAATGTTCAACTGTTTTGACCTTCTGTATTTTGTAAATTAACCTTTGTTATATCACTTAGGGAAGTAGATGGCTGCTGTTAGTGAGCTTGGCAAGCCTTGATTTTGTATAACAGTATTATAGGCTGCTGTCTATATATTCGTACTTTTACTGTGTACCAAGCAAAAAAATGATGTATTTTCTATGAAATGTATCGATTTCTCCAGATATCTTCACCATTTGTAAAAGGGATTGATTTAAATAAAAAAAAAAAAAAAAAAAAAAAAAATTTCAGTTAGATATTGAAGAGAAGTACTTTTCAAAAACAGATTATAACATTTTGGTTTGAATATTTTTGGAATTCCTTCATTTTATGTATATTTTTGTCTTTGAAAATTCCAGCAACAATTCCTCTTGAGAGTGACACCACACCACTTTTGGAATGAAAAAGGGAAAAAAGTTGACATATTCAGTAATGAAGTTTGAATGGTTTTGAGAGGATTATGGATATTTGATTAAATTCTATTTGACAGATACACTCACCAGCTTGTTTGTGTCGACAAGCATCATACAACATGTTTCTATAAGCTAATAGATTGTTTTCAGTATAACTTTAAGTTGGAGACTACTGGTATTTAAGGTCCCTCTTGGTCTTTAAAATCTTTCCCTTTCAGATTTTGCAAACAGCAGTATAAAAATACATTTTGATGCCATGGAAATTTGTTCTGAAATTAACGTTTGCCTTGCTAAGCATTTAAGACAGCAGTTATCTCCCCTGATTTGACGTGCATTATCAAGCCAAACAAGTTGAACAAGGAAATAAAAGAGACCTCTTCAGTGATGATTGATTAGAATTGCGTGTTATTTTGATTTTGGCTGACTGTCTTATGTGTTTTGTTATATAATGAGGATTTAGGCAAATTATCTTCACTGTTTTTTGTTGACAATATCTATTGTTACAGATGTTTTCCGGTGAAAAATCTTCACTCATTGTTTAGAAAGACAATAACATTGTTTTACATATGTTTTAATTGATTGAAGCTGTTCACAGAAAATGGGCAATTTGTACTGTCATTATGTTTATCAGAATTAATAAATAACTTGATTTTGTAACATTGGTGAAGGTCTAAAGGTTGTGGTGTAAGAGAAAGACTTATTGTTGATTTTTTGTGCTTTCTGTAGTACATATCGTGTTGTAAAGGTTCACTTGAGGTTTTTTATCCAAAGGCCATTTGATATTAGCATTTCTTCAATCAACAATGAAAATTAAAAAAAAAAAATTTGGCTTGTTATATATCCTGACAGGTAGGTAGCCAAGCATATGGTCTATATGATCAGTTATACACATTTATATATAATTACTTATAATAACTTATAACAATAAGTAGAGATATTTACTGATGCTGGCATTCGCAACCATTAGTGCAATTTATGTGCTTAACATTAACCTTCAAATGTTTTTCATAAATTCAGTATTATTACATTTATATACTTAATAAACAACTGTTCTATGTTATGTACTAGGTACACTACTGGGCTCTGTCGTGAACATTGATTCCTCTTTGAAATACAGACACTTCAAGAAGGGAAAACTCTATTGGATTTGAAATATCAGAGAAAAAAAAGAAAATATCCTGTGTCAGCAATAAAGAGCCAGTGATGCAAACAGACAAAATAAATAGACTTTAGTGAAAGAGGTGGGGTCCACTTCAGGCTTTCATTGAAAGATTGCTGAACATTTCATACTAGTATTGAAAAGTTAAACATTCCATTCAGAAGTTTTCTGTTGTAGTTGACTTTATTGAAACAGACATTGACAACTTAAGATTCTGCTGACATTGGCATTTGACGATGTGTAGGCGTTTTAACATAGATTTGTTCTCATCTGATTTCAATCGTAGCCAGGCCTGGCCATGTTTTCTATCTCGACATCATTCTTTACATCAGTTGATACGGGGAAAGATTGAATTTGATTGGTCGCTGATTGTAAAAGAACATTTTTCATTCTTAGAGAGAGATTGTTGAAGATTGCACAGAAAAGTACTTAGAAGGAGAGTAGATGGCGACCTCTTAATTCCCAAGTGTAAGATACAATGAGAGGTTTGTTGTATCACTGAATTTTTAATTCACAAATGATTCAATTCTTTGACTCCTGTTCAAAATTGATATGTAGTCGCAATGTCCTCCCACTCAACTCGTAAATTTTCCACATTTCTACAAACAGCAAAAATTGTTGGTTAAATCTGTGAAATATTGCCTGTTAGGATTGTTTCAAATGTAAACGTGGGCGCATGACGATGTTTTATTCATTTAGGAGTATTGTATTTGGTAGTGTCGTCTGCTCCAGCTGTGAGAAATGAGAAATCTGATAGTCATGTTATGTGTTGTTAAGTGCTGTAACATATTATCATGACCATCCATAAAGGGATTCTGTGTATGCGATTCAATACTGGAAATTATCTGACTTCAAAGACAAAATGCTGCCCCGTTGCCTTCATGCAGAGTTGTGAGGTGAAGAAATGCATTAGTAATGATAAGTAATGTGTGCCATCATTAACCAGGAGGTGGGTGGGGGATTGTAGACATAGCCACTCAATACAGCAATCAGCTTTTAGTTCAGTGGTTGTGTGGGTGCAGGGAAGAGTTATCTATCCATTAAATATTTAAGATCAATTACAATATAAGCAACGTTGATCTTAATCCCAGATGGGTTACACACATTTTTACTTCTAGTGGTTTAACGTTGGTATACCATAGTTGTGCAGGAGTATAACTATAGAAAGGAAATATGGGGACTTTTTGGTAAGTTACTTATAAGTGGATTTTTTTTCTAAGTGAATATTTGATTAATATGAGATTGTATATTGAT